AGCTTACTGCCTCAGCATGTCAAGTGCTGAGATTACAGGCAAGTGCCACCATGTCTGGCAAAAGGTTCATTTGAAGTCTGATTAGACAACTACCTGGTACCACTAGGTACCTGCACTGATCAGACATTTGGTCAGTAATGCATGATAAGAGCCTAGAGCTCAGTAAAACAGATGAGGTATTGCCGGAGGCTGTGGTGGAATCTAAAGACTCAGTGCAGTCTTTTTTTTTTTTTTTTTTTTTTGCGGAACCAGAGATTGAACTCAGATCCTTGCGTTTGCCAGTCAAGCGCTTATCCTACTGAGCCATCTCCCCGGCCCCTCAGTCCAGTCTTTTATTTTTTATTTATTTTATGCAGGGTCATGCTATGCAACTTGGACTTGTAGTGATCCTCCTGTCTCAACCTCCCCAGTGCTGGGATTACAGGCGTGTGCCACCATGCTTGGTTTTGGGACTGGCACATCCCACCTGGGGTTCCCAGGCAGGTATGGCATGTGGTACCAGGGATTGGATGGGGTCTTTGTGCTTGTCAGGCAAGTGCTTAGACAGGTGAGCTATCTCCCCAGCCCTGGCTCAGTGCATTCTTAGCTTCCATTTTACTCTCAAGAGATGGACGGGAGGTCTTTCTTTCTTTCTTTCTTTTTCTTTTTCAGTTTTTGGCCGAACCGGGGATTGAACTCAGGCCCTTGCGCTTGCTAGGGAAGCACTTATTCCACTGAGCTATTTCCCCGGCCCTTCTTTTTTGTATTTTTAATACAGGGTCTCACTACACAGATTGGATTTATAGTGATTCTCCTGTTTTCAGCCTCCCAAGTGCTGGGATTACAGTTGTAAACCACCATGCCCAGTCTCAATCCCTGTCTCAGCATGCCCTGAGGGCGGGGCCGGCACTGCATGCCAGGGATTGAACCTGGCCTCTGTGCCTGCCTAAGCAGGAGCTTTAGTCCGCTGTGCTATCTGGTCAGCCATGGGCCGTCTTTAGAACCTTAGAGCCTTGGAGCCTGTGGAGCCTTAGGGCATGCTTGGAGTCAGGGATCATAGGGACTATGGAGTACCTCTATGCCCTTGTTAGGTCTAGCCCGAGACTCAGTTCTTCACAAATCTTTGCTAGGAGCCTACAGCATACTGTGCCTCATGGCATACGTTGGGTATACATGCAGTGGAGAACAAGCCACTTTGGTTCACAAAATGCTTGTCTTCACAAAATGTTTCTGAGGGGTTTAGGTCAAGAGAATGCAGGTTTTAGTACAATGGATCAGGGGTCATTTTGGGGTGCTGTGGGACACAAAGGTGTGGCATGGCAACCTTTCTTATAATCAGAGAGAGCTTCCCCGAGGACATGTTACATAGGTTTCCCCTTAAGGGTGACTAAGGAAGCTGGGTAAAGGGGTGAAAGGGTGGGGGGTGTTCTAGGAGAGACAACAGCATGGGGGCAAAGGGAGTTTGCTCAGAAGGACAAAGGGAAGGCTGCAGTCTGAGACTCAGGACACTAACTGTGACCTATGGGTGTGTCCACATAGTATGAGGCGGGGAGGGGAGGCAGGGCCTGCGTCCGTTTTGCTTACTCTCAACTCTGTGGCAGATACTCCCTGGAGAGCTATCACTTTGATGGAAATGAGGAACAAGATGCCAAAATTTTAAAGGAGGGGAGAGGGGACGGGAGAAAACAAGGTGAAGGATAGTTCTGAATGGGATGGATCCTGGGGAGGACAAACAGCAGCTGTAGAGGGGGACATTACAGGAGTGGAAGTTCAAAGTGGTGATCCTGTTGGCAGAATGTGTGTGCTGAGCAGTGTGTGCTCTCAGGAAGGACCTGGGATCTGTGTCGAGGCACCGATTGCTGGCATCCTATGCATTTGGGACTGGATGTGTGCGATGGGATGTTCTCCCTTTGTGTTGCTGTGCAGAACTCTGGAATGCACACCGTGCAAGTACCTGCCTGCAGGAAAGGGATTTGCACCCAGCCTGTGCTGAAGCGCACATGCCTTGTGAGGCGTGTGCTGTTGGGACAGTGTCTACACACTCAATCTCAGGCAAGAGACCGAGGGACAGCATCTCACACTGAGTGAGCTATGGGTTGCTCAGATTTGAAGAGGGGCTGGGCTCATTTGGCACAAGGCAGCCATGCACGTATTTGTCAAGTGAACAAGCATTTTGGTTGTATCAGTCATTTAAGAAATGTATAGGTTCGATGAAAAAGTTTGGACTAGATATTTTAAGAAGGGCCGGGGAGATGGCTCAGTAGAATAAGTGTTTGCCTGGCAAGCACAAGGGCCTGAGTTCACAGCCAGGCACCAATATCTATTTAACAAATCAAGGGGCTTATATCCTGTGATGGAGTTGAGCAGGCCCTCTACTTCTAAGTTACAAACATTTCCTGAGCATCTCAGCACTCAGGCAAGACCTGGGCTTTGCTTCAGGGACTCAGGTTTCCTTCCCTCTGAGGAACCTTAATCTGGATGCTGCAATTAAAGCTTAATTATGTGTTATTTTCTGTTGTTCTTTAATTGTTGCATGGACATTCATTCACCTCCAGGGTGGCTGCAATCCTGTCCCAGGGACTACACTGAAGTGCTTGACAACAAATGGAAACATGGACACCAAGCTCTGTGTGGACTGGATTTATTCCTTTATTTGAATCTCATATTCCAATCCACCATTTCTGGAAAAGAGGAGGCTTTGTGCCTTAATGTAGCTGCTGCTGTTCTACACCTTGTTCCTCCTAGTGAAAAATGGTACTCTTTCCTTCAGGATGACAGTTGAAAGGCAGAAGGGGGCTTTTGCCAATTATTCCACAACAGCGGCCACCAAGACACTTCAACAGGGTGCTACTGACTTGTTAGCCACTCTTCGCCCTCAGGGGCTGTCTTGTTCTTGCCAGTAGGAAGCCCTTCCCCCCAGTTGTGACTATCAAAAACGTCCCCAGACATTGCTCAGTGTCCCCTGAGAGCAGAATCAGCCATCGTACAGGAATTTTGGTTGCAGGTAGTTTTCTTCTTTGGCACATGTGGGAGATGGAAGCGGGAGGTGCTGCCAGTGCTGATCGTCTAGGTGCCGTCTCTGTGTTGTGCCATCTTATTACATCTTCCAGATAGAGTCGCGAGTGTGCTGACCGGCTAGGTCAGCAGGGCCATCGGGTTTGCCCTCACAGGAGAAGCAGCAGGCCTTAAATTGGACTGCGCTTTCAAAAATTAGGTCTGCTACTATTTTAAAAACTTTTTTAGGTGGGGAGGAGATTACTCTTCTATTCATTAAATTCGCTTAGTATAAATATACACAGTATGCCCTCACATATAGACATCTCAGGCCCAGTACTACCGTTGAGGCTCTGGTTTTATCTAGGAAAAACACAGAGCAACACAATGGAACAGCTTCAATTCTCCTTGTTACAAATTATCCAAAAGCCGGCCTAACGGTGCCAAAAGCAACCAGTATTGTTTACATAAGGGTTGAAGGCTAATAGTTAACTTTCTCCCATTTAATTACAGAAATGGTAAATAACGCCTCACTTTACAACTACAAACGAGGGCAATGTCTTAAAGTGGGGAAGAAAACACTCTGGAGCAAATGGAAAGGTTAGTTTTCCTCCCTCCCATCATCCCGTCCCATCTCGCGCTACCGAGGCCTCCGGTCCCTGTCGCCCGCCCGCCCGCAGCTTTCTGGCTTCCTTTCCCGCCCTGGGGCGAGCTCGGCCTCTCTCGGAGAAGCCTGTCCCAGAGCCAGGCCTGGAAAAACAACAGCGAGAAACTTTGGCAGGGTTTGCAGCTCAGTGGGAGAAAAAAAAAAGCACACCCTCAACTTGGCTCCCGGCTGCAGCTGCCGGTTCCGATCTAGGGGCGGAGGAGGGGGGGTCACCACTGGGTCAGGCTCAAGTGCGCATGTGCCTGGAGGGGCCGGGCACTTATTGAGCGCCACTGTCTACCTAGAGTGCGCTTCCCGGTGCGCGGAGGTGAGGTGGGGCGGGGTGGGCGCACCGGCTGGGGCGCGCGCCGAGCGCCCGGCGGGGGTGGGGGGGATGGGGCTGGGGGGCGTGTCTCCAAGGCGGGAGGGCGGGCGGTTCCGCGGCTCCCTTCCCGGGCGCGCGATCCGGGCCGGGTTGTGGCCGCGGCCGCGTACGTGAGCGCTGTGTCCCGGGGAGGGAGGGAGGGAGGGAAAGAGGGAGGCCGGCCAGGTGGGCGCGAACTGAGCCCGGCGGAGGGCGGGCAGCCGAGCGAGCGGCCGCGCC